TCTTGAGGTGAGAGTGCTTCCACACTAAAGCCCTGATTTACAAGTATGTTCATGCCTGTACCCTCTTTATAAAATGAATGAAATTGAGGTTTTCTGTATGGCCTGTCCTACATGTATAGGCATGCCATCTGATAGGGTGTGGAAAAGCATAACAAATTATGTAAAAATGTTTGGGGGGAAAATGCGGAAAAATGCATCAATTTACTCAATTATGCAGAAAACACATTGAATTATGTGGAAATTTCAACAGTTAACAAAATTTATAATAAAGCCTTTCGAATGTACCGTTCAAAGGTGAAACCAAAAGCACTTCAAAATCTTACCCACAATTTAAGCTCTTAGATAGAATGCACATTATTTTCGCCAACTTTGACATAAGCTTGATCTTTTTATGGTATTTGTTGACAGGTACATGTATTTCTTCATTTACACAGTTTTTCCATACAAATTATAACATTTTGCATGATGTTGCACAAAAGCAACAACGAATTCGGCCATAGCTCAGTAACCAGGCATTTTTATTGGAACTTATTTCCAGGCTCTTTGCCTGAAGTAGGTTGGAACCTCTGGAGGTTAAAAAATTCATCAAGAATGAAATGGTGTGTTTTCTTAACTGCTTTAGGAGAAAAACCACTTCAAAATAATCAATCTCTTGGGAAATATTGCTTGTGGAGTTGTAAGGCAGCTGCTTTTTTGCTAATATGGATCAATTTTTCTGTTTTATGCGGAATAAAACTCTGATTATGCAGAGGATGCAGATGTTAGCTAATTACAATGTGTGTGGATCCACACCGTCGCATCCTCTCAGATGCCCTGTAGAAGGAACAAAGTAAATGAACAGTACTGTGACAATATTCTGAAATGAAATTCCACTATTACAATAATTATACTTTGCATGTAGCTTGCTGTCAAAGACTCATTCAGTTGTGTATCAGATCATGTTCTTCAGTAGCCTCAGTTGCAAGCTACATGTACATGTACCTTATTACATGAAATTTCCACAACACATTTATTTTGCGATTTTGAGGTGTGCATATTTCACAACACTTAAATTTCGCGATTTTGCGAAAATTTTGTATTTTGAATCACTTTAAGTTTGCGTCTTCATGCAGTTTATTTCCGCAGCAGTGTTACTTAAGCATGTCCTTGAATTTAGTAAACCGACTTTATCAAAGGTACAATAAGGTCAAAATTAACAAAAATGCAACGGCTGGACTGTATGTTAGCAGTAACATGATGTGAGTCACTTAATTTTCACATCTTGTTATGTTAGCGACACTTATTGTTCACGTCACGTTAATTTTGTGATTTTTTTTTTAAATCATGAGATTCACAAAATTACATGTAAGGTGTCACAAAAATTTTATGTAATGAGATAGTTCCAGTCTAATAGTTCTAGTTCTAGTCCAGGAATAAAAAATGTCCTATTGACTGCTGTCAGCTGAATTTTTTATGATTAAAATTACTTGGGAGTCTGGTTTTTCAATCATGAGTCCTCA